TGTCATTGACAGGTGGGGCAGTAATCCATTGTTGGTGAAAACCTTTGCCGATCGCATTCGCGAGGAATTGGATAAATTCTGTGAAACAAAACGTAATAATGTGGTTATATTGTTTACTGCCCACTCCTTGCCATTGAAGGCTGTTAATCGTGGTGATCCATATCCTGCTGAAATTGGAGCTTCCGTACAAATGGTTATGCAAGAGCTGGGCTATTGCAACCCCTACAGTTTAGCTTGGCAATCGAAAGTGGGACCATTACCCTGGTTGGCGCCCGCTACCGACGATGCCATTAAGGTGAGCAGGATAGCATTTATGATAAAATATATATCACAATAATGTGTATTTCTCACTTCTTAGGGCTATGTAAAACAAGGATTGAAAAATTTTATTTTGGTACCAATTGCATTTGTTAACGAACACATTGAAACCTTGCATGAACTAGACATTGAATACTGCGATGAATTGGCTAAGGAGGTAAGTAATGAAGAGAAGTTAAAAGTAATGGATATTACAGCCTAAGACAGAAAATTGTCTGTTCAGGTCCACGTCTTCGTATAGCCCCCATATATCGGTATCTCCCGATTTTCGGTATTTTAATTATTTTAGCGACATTGTTCACCGGAATTGTTTCAAATTTGGTTTTTGAAGTTCGTAATGGTTACTACAGCCCATGACAGAAAACTGTCTGTGCAGGTCTACGTCTTCGTATAGTCCATGTAACGGTACCTACAGATATTCGGTATTTTGATGATCAAGTTTCGCATTTGAATATTGTTATGACTTATGACAAAAGTTGCCTTTACAGGTCCACGTCGTTGTATTTTTAATTTTAAGAATTTAACAGAATTTTTAACGAATTTTATTTTTTTGAAAATTGCCAAATTCGTTACAAATGGTGGAGAGTATCCAAAGTACGGCCCACCCGAACTTACAGCGTTTTTACTTTTTTTTTTGAAATAGAATTGTATTTCTAGCTTCATATTATATATTTCCGGTAAACATTGCCATATTTTTCCTCTAATAATATTACAAAATCAATACAAAATTAATAACTAAAAATACAAAATTAATACCTATATTATTGCTCTTCTTTCCAGGTGGGTGTTGAAGAAATACGCCGTGCAGCCACACCCAATGATCATCCGTTGTTCATAAAAGCCTTAAGCACCATTGTTGCTGATCACTTGAAGAACGGAGATAATGTCAATCCGAAATTCTTAATGCGCTGTCCCATGTGTGTGAATCCCCGCTGCCGTGAAAGCAAGAATTGGTATAGGAATGTATGTGCTCGTTGAAAATTAAATTGAACTTAGAAGATATCACTTATTTTTTGATAAATTGTTAGCAGCCGTAATTGTGAATGTGTTAAAGAGAAAACACAATAAAAAACATGAAATATCATACCTTGAAGAAAATGCATTCTTATTTGTAAAGCCAAAATAGGAAAAAGACTGGATCATTTCCCTAGCATATGTCACATCATTCCGTTCAGGGCATTATTGGAAAGTCAAGTGTAATGTTCATTAAGAGATACATCAACAGTCATAAACATGAATTCCCTTCATCTTCCAACACTGACTGGTAAAACTCCAACTCCAACTATATTAATATTTTAAAGCTACTCAACATCTGAATTCTATAATTTTTAGAAATTTAAATGAAACAGGCTGAGAATTCATCGCTAATGCATTCAAACCAAATACCCGGATCTCCATCGTTATAACTCCCAATTGATTTGCATTAACCAACACCGTCAAGATGTTTTACTACAATAGCTGGGGGAGGTCGGGCCAAAAAAAAAAAAATAATAATGGGTAATGATGCAACTCAAGCAACAAAAACTTCCAATCTGTGTCTTAGAACTCTTGATATTCCAGTAATGTGTACTATTGTTCCGGTTGCATTTTCTGCGATTTGGATTCGGGAAACCAATCCACTAATCAAGAATATTTGAGTTCTAAAATAACTACATCGAATGGTCACTTTACATGGACTTCCGCCAATTATGCTTTAATCAACCAACAAAAAGAGACAAGGACTTCATCGGATGTTTCATATTTATTTAACTCATGTTGGATCCACGTCTTGGATTTGTCTGTAATTTTTCGATTTGGCTCGAATGGAAGCAAGCATGTTTTCCTCGTTTTTGAGTGGGAACAAAATTCGTTCGAACTCGAGCAGATTCTTTTAGTATTTGTCACACCGTTGTTGTATTTTTACGTAGGTGTATTTTTTCTGTACACGATCACACCCACTATTCCCCCATTTCCCTTTTCTTCCCCTCCCAGCATTTAGCGATATCCGTCATTCCGTTCGTCTGCGGTCACTCTAGCTTCCAAACGAAATGAAGAAGGTTGATATTACTAAATTAAATTATTATTATGTCTGCAGGACTTTTGGTATTGAAAATGGGCCATGTAGGTCCACGTTTTGGTATAGCCCCCATATAATGATACCTCCCTATTTTCGGTATTTTGATGATTTTAGCGACATTATTCACCGGAATTGTTTCAAATTTGATATATGAAGTTCGTAATGGATACTACAGCCTATGACAGAAAATTGTATAGCCTCCATATACATCCTAATATTCGGTATTTTGACGATATTAGCGAACTGTTTCAAATTTCACATTTAAAGTTCGTAATGGAGCCTATGACAAATATTTTTTTTACTTGTTTTTACTCATTTTCACTTTTGAGCGATTCTGCTCCCAATCTATTTATTCACATGCAGGTGTGACTCGGAAGGGCTGCGACACAAATCAAAGGATTGTAGAGTAGACTTCGTAAGAAACTCCCACTCTTCGGGCAATTCTGGCTCGCGAGTGAAAGTGCACAAATCTGTGCTATGGGTTTCTGCCTGTGGTTAATTTGCACATGAGATCCCTCCTAGGTAAGAACAGGTAAGACCACTATCACATACATACAGTGTACGACTTGTAATTTCCTAATTTAAATTCTATGGTTTTTGCTTTAACTTCTGCAGATACCGATCGATTTGGTAAATTACAAAAATTGTATTATTCAGCGTAAATATGACAAACTTTGGAGGAATGAAAAGAACCAAAACCAACTATACAGGGTGAGATGAAAAAGTGCTGTCATTTCTAAGCCACTCGTCTGATTTCTTTTTATATGGTTGGAAAACCACATGTGTCTATAGTTAGAGCCCTCCAGCATCAAAATGTGAATACATCTTTTGTGTCTCGTAACATCGCTCGTTACCGTGATACTGATAGCGTAGCCCAACGTCAAGGAAGTGGACGGAAGAAAACAGCAACATCAGCAGAAATAGTTCGAAAAGTAAAGAAGCGACTTGATCGAAACCCACGTCGCAGTGGATGAAAAATGGCTCGTGAGCTAAACATATCGCAATATTCCATTAGGCAAATATTGAAAAAATGAGCTCGGGGTAAAGCCATTGACATTCCAAAAAGTGCCAGAATTTACACCGCAATAGAAAGAAAATAGACTTAAAAGAGCTAAAGAGATGTTTTGCTTGGCCGAATGTTTTGTTTTTGGACTCCAACAGGATGCAGCACAATCGCACTCAGCATGCTCTACCCAAGAATGGTTACAAAATGAGATTCCTCGCTTCATTTCCAGCGCACAATGACCACCAAAATCTCCGGATACCAATCCGTTGGACTATTGTGTCTGGAGTATTTTGGAAAACAAGGTTGGCACTAAAAAATACCCAAGTGTCGATCACCTCAAGCAAGCGTTTCGCCGGAAATGGGCCAAAATACCGCAGATCAACATTCGGGCAGTGTGTGACGGTTTTATTGGCCTTTTAAAGGCCACAATTTGTGCCAAAGCTGATCAATTCGAACAAATCAAAACTTATTCAAAAATTTAATGCTATTTCCGACATAGTTGGCTTTCATTGAATGAAATTAATATAAAATGGAAAAATTGTTGCAGTTTTTTATCTCACCCTGTGCAAATCTTTGCTATGGTAAGATCTCGGGTATAGGCACTCACTCTGACATACAGTGTACGACTCGTAATTCCGCAACGTAAAATCGATCGTCTGTTTGTTTTAGCTTCTTCAGATTTCGATCGGTTTGGAAAATTATGGAAATCTTATTATTCCGTGTAAATATGGCAAAAATTTGGAACGAAGAGGATAGTTTTGAACGATATTATTAAATAACTTAAAATAAAATAAAACCTATATATGGTGACCGCCTGACTGTGTCCATAGACAATATTAAATAACTTACATAAAACCTATAAATGATGACTGTCTGCCTGCCTGCGTCCATAGTTTAAAGGGTTCTATTTATTTATTCTTGTGTATCAATTTTGATTTTCACCGCGCGTGGTGTCCTTTCTTGTATTTGATATCTATACAAAATATCGTATGCCAAATAAAAAGTATGGTTTTTTTTGTAGATTAATAAATAAATACGTTTCAGTTGATTTTTTATTTATTGTTTGTTCTTTTTTTTATACATAAAACGCATTCATCATCTTTCGTTTTTAGTTAGTTTTTTTCTATTTCAGTTTTTTGTTTTTGTTTTCATATTTTGTAACGCTAAAAATGGCGTTGCTTAAATATAAAGATTGGTTGGTTTTTTTGCTTTATGGATTAGTGAGAGTTTGCTTCGATTTGTTGTTCTTGTTGTGTTTGTCATCTTTGTTTTTTTTTTTGTAATGTTCTCCTCCTCGTATTTGTTACTTTCTAACTTCATCCTAAGTTTTTTTTTTTTTATTTTGCTTTTTGTTTAATAAAATAAATTATCATCATTTTTTCAACAATAAATTTATATACGTTTTGTATTATTAATAATATTACTTGTTTTTTTTTGGATTTTATTTTTAAGAGATTAAAATCCCAGTCATTTTGTTTTGTTTTGTTTTCGGCGTTACCAACAACGTTTTGCTGGGGGGGCTCTGTTGTGTTTGTTGTTGTTGTTTCTTTTAAAGTGGAGTTGTTTCTTAATGTTAAATTGGATTTTTTTTCTTTCGTCTATGGTTGTTAGCCATGTTTGTTGTTTTTGTATTGAATTCTTGGTGTTTTGGTTGCCTCACACAATTTCCTTTTATTTTCGATACATAAATACGATTTTGTTTTTTTGTTTGTTTGTTTTGTAGAAAAAATAATTTATGTTTTTTTTTTAATAATAAATTGTATTCTTGGTTTTTTTGCTTTTCTCATGTTCATTTTTCATTTGCTAAGCAAAGAAGAAATGAGATGATAACGACAATTTGTTTTTGTTTTTTTCTTTCAAGGGCAGGGGCAAAGGACGAAGTGATAGGATATTTATTTTGTTTTTGTATTTAATTTTCTCCTCATCATTACGATCAATCACTTGATGATTTAAGTTTTTCTTTTTCTTTTTGTTGTTGTTTGGATTTCTTGTTTTGTTTTTATAATAAAGTTATTTTTGCAAATTGGTTTTGTTTTTTGTTTGTTTTTATTATAATTATTCTTGTTTTTATTTTAAATATAATTTAATTAACAACGACCTAACTTCTATGGTTTTTTTTTATGTTTTGAGATTGTAAGCGAATATTACAAGATATACGACAACATTTCTACATTAGGATGATGGAGTGTGTGTGTGTGGATGTATGTGGGTGTGTGTGTGTGTGGAGGAGGAATACGCGGCAGGAAGAGTTGCTGAAGTTTTCTTTCGAATGAATTAAATTGGTTAGATTTTGTTAAGCTGTCGACTGGATATCCACCATTTGGAGATAGATTACAGTCGAGTTGTCCCATATTTTTTTTTGATTGTTCTCTTCTCTCCCTCCCCAAATTGAGAATGATGGCGGCTTGTGGTGGACTCGGTCTCCTTGGAGTTATGAAATTATGTAGTTACGGCGGACGGGTGATCTAATATATGTAGATGTGTGTATATATATGGTTGTGGTAGTGGTTTGTCTTTCAATGTGTATTGTCATGTATTATTCGCAAACAATCAAGGAATATAGCGAGAGATTAATATGTTAAGTGATTTTGCATATTTCAAGCACTCACTCACACATATACATTATAATATATATAAAAGTATATATATTTGTATTGATTGTTGGCTTTAAGAGTTGTTGATCAATGCACACACACACGCACACACACATAGACGTTCACATACAAATAGATAGGTAGATAGATGCAGATGTCAATGGTTTATTGTGTATGATGGACAGGTGAGTGTGTGTGTGTGTGTGAAAATATGTGTCGGAAGGGAGGGTAGTGGTTGGGGCGGGGAAAAAGTTTGCATGTTCATGTTTTAAAAGTGTTCCAAGGAGTGTGTGGTAGCATGGTTGTTCCGTTTTGGTTTGACTGCCACTGAAGAATTGCATCGCTTCGCATTCTCTCTTATCTCTCTCGCTGTCTTGTTCGCTATATTATCCTTAATAATTAGTTACTACATCACGTTAATTCATTAGCATCATCAGCAGCAGCAGCAGCAGTAGTAGTTGTTGCAGCCCCCACCACCACACACAAACAAACGAACATCAGTGGGCATGTGTGTGTGTGTGTGTAGCACTCCTTCTCCTTCCATTAGATTTATATCGCGCGTTGTCTTCTTCATCTTGTTGTTTTTGTTGTTTGGAACTTAACAATGTTTTTGTTGTTGTTGTTGTTTACAAAACATGCCAGTTTAAAAGCTTCATTGGGTTTGATATTGTGGCAATGCAGCACTATACATCATTTGTGGCCCCAGTGAACCGTTTGCTGCTGCTGTAGCTGCTGCCGCAGTCACTCCAGGGACGACAGTTCCGGGCACCCCCCAAGCCACATTTGGCTGGACCATTCTGTAGCCAGTGGCTGTTGAAATAACAACAAAAGTTAATAACAAACTTTCAACAGAGAATTACAAATCGAATAACTTACCCATGCCTCCTGCCTGTTGCGTACTTGCGGCATAGGCATAAGGATAATAGCCTTGTTGCATGTATTGTGTCTGCATTTGTGCTGGAGGATAACCCTGTAACACACAAGCGAATAACAATTACATATATCGAAAATTAAACGATCGAAACACTTACAGCTGGCGGATACCAATAGCCCATTTGTTGATATGCATATGGATATTGTACCGCTGCAGCAGCCGCCAATTGTTGTTGTGTCATCATTTGGCCGGGTATCGCCCCACCAGCAGCTGCTGCGGCATTGGCTGCTGCTGCAGCAGCCGCAGCCTGTTGTGGTATCGTTGGCATACCCGCCGGGCCCATCATGGCGCCAGCCGCAGCCGCAGCCGCTGCCCCCGCTGATACAGCGGCCATATTAGTCATTGGATTATCGTTCACTACAGCAGGATTAATACCACCATTTTCTTTGCCCCAGAAACATTTCACATTGCTGCCGTGCACCTCCGAGTTGTGTGTATGTTCGATGGCTCGGGCCGCCGATTCTTTTGTTAGAAACTTAATGAACGCAAAGCCTTTGTCTTTGAAAACGCGCACGTCTTGTATCTGACCGAATTGCATGAAATGCTTGTGCATAAGTTCATCGGTAATCACATTTGGCGGGAAACCACCGCAATATACTGTAGTGTTCATGGGACTGGACTGGTTGTAGACCTCTTCAAATGTTTGTCGGGTATTCGATTTCATGTTACCACCACCCCCACCGCCTGTATTCGCTTTGCTGTTCTCACGGGGTGGTGCCAATTTACGTGTCGACCAATTGGTGCGTATCGAACGCGAACCAATCCACTGGCCATTCATGGCTTGTATTGCATTTTCGGCTTCGGCTTTTTTAACGAACGAGACAAATGCATAGCCTCTTGATTTCATAGTCTGTGGATCACGTACAATGCGGCAGTTAGAGATCTCTCCAAAGGGAGCAAATGCTTCACGCAAGGTTTCAGTTTCGATTTCAGGACTTAGGTCGCCCACAAAGATATGATGATGTGAACTGATGTCTGTTTTAGGCTGATTACCGGGACTGGTGGCCCAATTAACCTGTCAAAACAAAAATCGTTTGAGAAAACTACCCAAAATATTAATGATGCCGCCGAACTTACCTTGATTTCTTTGTCGAGAAAGAGACGCTTATTCATGGCTGTTAAGGCTGTTGTGGCTGCTTGGTATGTGGTGTATTCAATGAATGCATAGGGATCATTACCGGGTTCTCGTATAATTTTACAGCTCTTCACTGTACCCATTTGACTAAATAGGGCAATCAATAAATCTTCCGATACGCTTGCATCCAAATTCCCTACATACAACGTTTTCGGTTGTGATTCGTCCATTATGGCTGTTTTCTACTGTTTGTTGGTGTTGTTGCTGTTGTGTTGTCGGCTTTGCAGCGACGACTATTGGCCTCAGAAAAGTGTTATGGATGGATGAATGGCTTCAAGATGAGATTTTTGACTAAACGCTATCTATTATCTTCCACGTTGTGTTAAACGTTCGTTTGCTTCTTCCTTCTTTTTTTTGGATTTCTGTTGTTGTTGGCAAATTGTCTTAGCCTTTCGTAGAACTACTTATGCTATGTGTTTTCCTTTTTTTATCCTAAAAAATGTATGGTTTGCTGATTTTACAACTTCTTTTGTTTTTGTTTTTTGTTAATTCCCCTGAGCTTTTCTTTTGTTGTTGTTGTAGTTGTATTGATTTTTAGTATTTGTTTTTTTTTTGCTATTTTGTGGTTGTTTCCTAGAGGGACAGCAGCCTTTGTTTTCCTTGTTTAGGACGAGCTAATGGATAAAGTAGTTTGTTGTTAACAGGTGATTTACTTGTGTTGTTGGTTGGCTAATTTTTTTTGTCTATGATTGATTGCAGATTTTCACAATAAAATATGAAGTTGTTGTAAAAATTATATCATATCATATACGTATGTAGAGAATGTATAAATCAATAAATAATGATTTTTGTTGATATTGCTCCTATTTTGCTTTGCTATTGATTCGCTTCTTAATTTTCTCCCTGCACACTCTCGGCAGAATTTTTGAAGGCGGCGAATTAGAACTGGACCCAAACACGCTTTCGATCACACGTTGATGTTCGTGAATCTGCTTGGACTGTTTGATATCCCTTCGAAGTGTGCCAGAAATTACAAACTGTTATTGCTTACAAAAACACACAGGCGAAACACGACGAACATCTAGCTTTAGTTACTAACTGAGTTATATACATGTATATATAAAAAAAGAGAATATGTTGCTGATACTGGTAAGTTTCTTCTTTTCGACTAATGAATACTAGATCCTTGTTTGTTTTGGAGTTTTAACGACTATTGGGGGGGAGGTGATGCTGGCGTCCCAAACAAATAATACAACCTCTTTTGTAAATATATAGTTTTGTTGATTGTTGTCCGTCCTTCTCTGCAGATGCAATCGAGCCTTCTTCTTTTTTAGTAAAAATGACTAACAACACATCTGGAGGGAGAGAGGGGGGTGTTGGTGACTTGTGGGAGTATGGAAATAGTGTAGTTCGCTGCTTTCTATTTCACCACCAAGCCGCTTGTCGAATTCCTTTTCTGCCCAACGACGATTGTATCGATCTTTTGTCTGCCTGCCTATTAGAGTAGATATTGTTAATTCTTTTCTCTTCAGCTTGTTTTAGATTTGTTTTGTTTGTATTATTTTACTACAGCTCTATGGAGTGTTTGAAGTTTGCATATCTCGTCGGATTTGCCTTGAATTGGGATTTTGGAGGTCTTTTCAAAAAGCATTAACAGCTATATATTGGGGTTAAGTTGTTGGTTTGATATACTATTATATATTTCTCTTGGAGAAAAAAGGTTTTGGTAACTCTATGCTTTTGTTTTATTTTCACATAAATGGAATCAGTACTTCTTTTCAAGAAATATTTTCTCTTTGTCGAAGTTAATCACTCGTTGCTGTTGGATACTTTTTTTTAAATGTTGATTTGCTTTGATAAAAGTTACTTACAAAATAATTGGTTTAGTATTTCTTTAAATAGTAAATATATGATTTTTGTTGTTGTTGTTGTTGTTTGCAAATATGCTCGCTATATATCTGTGTCAGGCTCTTTTGGACTTTATGGAGGTTTACTGAAAATACAAAAAGAAAAAAGTCTCATTAATGAAACTGACTTGAATTGGAATGAAAAAGAAAATAAAAAAAATGATAGGAACCTGCAATCCTGTTAAAGAAAGTAATAAATGGGAGTATTTTCAGAAAAAACAAAACAATTAAAATAGTATCAGTTGGTTTTGCCCACAGATGTATACCCCAGCCTTGAGTTATGATTATTCAAACTGTTCACCCTTTATGGAGGAGGTTCCGAAGCACTTGGCCAATTATTGACCAATTCGTATCTAACCTAAGACTGATAAAAATATAACAACCTGCCAGATTTGGAGTATATCGACTACTTCCTACACTTTATATGAGATATATCCAAATTTTTGGATAATGTGGAAATGTGCATGAGGTAAAAGATATCGCAGACCGAAATAGTCCATTTACATATTTTATTTAAACCGAGAAAAATATTGGTATGTCCAAATTTGAAGGAAATCGAACATTTTTATATAATTTTATGAGAAATTCCAAAAATAAATTCCGATCAATTCCGATTTCTGGTTAACAGAAATATTTATATATAGCAAATTATCACAGATATAAGTATTTGTAATCGTGACCCTTTGTGGGTGAGGTACCAGAAGGGGTTAGCAGATGTATAACATCTTCACAGCAGATCTTGCGTTAGCAAATATATTTGCATGTGTAACATTTTTATTAGAGTTGGATGCTTATTCCTCACTCTTTGAGCATTTTTTTTTTTCTAAATCTTGAACCCTATGTGGGGGAGGTACCAGAAGAAATGGTCCGATCTCTACCATCTTTATAACAGATGCATTCCATGTTCTCACAAGACCTTGGGTTAATAAAAATATTGTGATGTGTGTAATTTGAACAGAATCGCGTGCTACTTTCGGATTCTAAGTTTGTTTTGATTATTCAAAAATTTGACACTTTGTGGGGTAGGTACCAGAAGGTACCTACCACCTTTATAACAGATCTTGTGCTGATGGAAATATTGAAATGTTCCAAGTCTCGATCTAATTTAGACAATAATGTTACAAGTTTGGATCAAATGGGATAATCTCTTCGAGAGTTATCGTCCGCGCCAACCAGGCAGACGGACGGACATCGCTAGATCGACTCCAAATGGCTTGAATCAGATTTGGTACAAATAGTTATTTCGATGAGGCACGTTTTGCTCGTATCAAAAGATATATACCTTATCTAGCCATATGGCTGAAGTAATAATTATTATAAAACGCATGTCTGACCGCCCAATACATTCGCGTTAGGGACCTATACTCATATAAACAAGGAGTTCTATGTGCACCTCTTGTCCAAAAATGTGAGAATATATATTGGCTTGGAATCTGTCAGGAAGGGCATACACGATCTAGAGAGGGAGGTCCAACGCTAAAAGAGAGAAAATCTAGATCAAGAAGCCTATCAGGCAGGTTTGAGTGGCATTCATACGGATGCAGTCGCAGATGCCATCAGCAATTAGAGGATGAATGTCGTCCTCGAAGTCCATCCCCTATCCATTGCAGCTAAAGGACGTCAGCTGTCTAGACAAAACATTGTAGTTTTGGCGCAATTACGGTCTGGATGGTGCAGCCGTCTCAATTCGTATTCGGCACAAATTGACAAAGATGTGCGAGACGTCAGCCCGGCGTATGATAAAGGCCCGTACAATACGCTGCACCTCTTTAATAGCAGTGCCAAACCTACCCAACTCACTCCAGTAGATCTCTGGTTACAGACCATTAAGGTAGCCGAATTTTAAACCAGATTAGCAGAATACAAAAATCTACAAGTACTACGGTTATAACAAGGAAGGATTAACTAATTACGTGATGACGACAGACACAGACCTGCATCGAGTTCAGAGGACATAGATCCCCACCAACGAAAAAACATTAGGGTGGAGAATTGAATCTATTTCTAAAATCCATCGACAAGAAGTGAACGTGGATCATAGAATAATTCCGTCTGTTAGCGGAAACGTAAAGAAATCCAGGCACCAGATATGGACCCATAGGAACGAGAGAATTTTGCCTGATGTGATTTGAAATCCATATGGAACTAGACAGCGTATTACTGCACCATAATGGAAAGTACAACTGTGGAAATAGAGCATGTGAATAGTTGTAGCGAACTTACTAAAGATTCTGCACGTTAGCTTTGTGTATTTGTTAAAATATATTAATTTGTATTCACTATTTGAGAGCTCAGCAAGAAATATCAACGATTGGACATAATTTTCCTTTTGACAGGTATCTGAAAATATTGGAAGCCTTACTTTAGAATATCAGTGTTAGACCTATACTCTAACTGGGTCTTTGCAAAAAATTTCCTGTCTTCTGGTTCTGATAGAATACCGACCCGAACACACGTTTTCCTACATTTCGTCTCTTTATTATAATTTTGAAAAAAGCAATATTCACATTCATGTATCCATGTGCAATCTCTGTGATCATGGTCTATTTCATCCTCTATGATAGCATCGACCATTGCTATAAACGCTTAACACCAAACACTTTGTTGATTAAAGATGTCAAAGCGATAACTATAATATTGAACATTCTTTGTTAAAAAAAAGTAAACCTAGAAAACAAAACTATGCCACCTAAAAAAAGAGTAATTCCAGCTCAAACCTCCCCATCGTCATCATGCAACGACAAATTCAACCATTATATCAAGGCCACACTTTTTTCCAATGTGAAATATATAAGGTCATGAACTTGGAATAAGGAAAGAAAAAAGCAAAAGTGATACGTATAGAATTTAAAACTTCGGAAACTAACCAACGCTTGCTGCTGAAAAAGGGGTCAGTCAGCTAAAACGCTGTGTCTTACAAATCCGCACAAACACACACACACACACTCATACGCACACATGCACACCAAATATGCAAGCATTCATCATCTCACTGGAGGAGTAATTAAAACATTATTTTGTCATTTGGTTGGTCGGTCGATGGTGTTATGGAAATAATATTACCACCATCCATCGCACGGCAGGCAGATTAATATTTACGATTTTTTTTCTTTTTTGTTGTTGAGTTTCAATTTTTCGTTGTCTTTCTTCCATAGTTGGCGCTTCACACAAACACGCACACACACGTACAAACACCACACAGCATTGTAAATGACACAAGCAAATAAAGGAAATGTTTAAACGCGCCTCTGGAAAACGTCGTCCACTGTTCAGTTCAGTTTGTTCAGCAAGCAGTTCATTTTCTTTGCTTGATTCTTCTTCTGGTTTTGTATGGGTTTTTGGTTTGTGTGCGATTCTACTCGTTTACTTACATAAATATTGCTTTTATAAATGTCAAACAGCACGTCCATTGCATATTCCGAAATGAAATTTGTACAAAAAATGATATTTTGCAGTTCAAAACTATTTAATAAAAGCGAAAATATAAAACACACAAGAACAAAAATTCACTCCACTACAAATGACTGTCGCCGTCTCCCGTTTGACAAAAAAAACTCTTGAAAGACAACGACGAAGATGGCTGATAGAAGAGTTGCAAAAATAACCGGTACTCTATATTGGCACTCTTCTAACACATGACAAATTAATATAAACTACTGCACACGACGAACATGTGAGAATAAGAAGCTAAAGAAAACTAAGAATTGAAACCAAAGGGAAAATGCAAAAAACCGGCCATTGTAGGGTTGCATTTAATGCAAATTTTCGTACTTTTTCCATTTTTTTGACAACCAACGAACAATGAGACGAACCTCAGGGGAGCTGTGTGAAAGACCTGAACAAAGGGAAGTATAAAATAATGTAGCTGCTTTGTCCGCACAATTGTTGTTGTTTTTTATTTCAGCACAATAATTCTTTCCAGAATCGAAACAGATGTACTGCAATTTGGCAACCCTTGCAATTACAACAAACAAAGTGTCTTCTCCATTAAGTCCATTCATAATTTTCTTTTCTCCAACACTTTCATATATCTTCACTTCTTTTCCCATAAATCTTAGCCAAATTACACTACTCCCAAGCATTTGGAATCCTTTTTAAGTTTTAATTTCTTGGCAATAAGCATAAATTCACTGTTTCTGATTTTATTTTTTCTTGGCTAAACTTACGACACGTCTTGAGCGGAACAAAAGGTCTGATGAAGAAAAAAATTACATCGAAGTTAAATTGTTATTCGATGGCGAACGACGTGGCTAAGGACGCCGTTTCCTTAAATAATTACACAAATATTAACAAATTCTTTGGCGTTCACAGCCAGCAACGATTATCACAAGTTTTTGTTCAACTTTTTCTCAGATTTTTCTCTCAAAATGCAATTGTTTAAAATCGCTTCGCTTTTGCTTTTACCTGCACAGATACCAGAGCCGCCGTACAAAGCAACAATTTTCATAGATGCTGGAATGATTTGCCGGCGTAGGAAAAATTAGTCTGCCAAACTTATCTGTTGGACGACAAATCGTATAAATCGTGATCTTTTGCATACGTTTCAAAATATGTGATGTTTGTGATTTTACCGCACAATTATACAAATTTGTCATGGAAAAATGAAATAAATGTGTATATCGGTAGGTCTTAGTCACGACTTTATTTTCGTCGCAAACTTTCCGTTAAATGTTGTCAATTATCGAAATTATAAGCAATTGTTAGTTAATTCTGCCGTTAACATTTTAAAAAATCCCAGTTCAGTGTCGCAGTTTAGCTATAACTTTTAATTATTCTGGCATAAAAAATTTGAAATTAGATTTTTTTGCGAAAATGTCTAAAATTTGTTACATGCAAATGAACATATATCCCGATGATCTTGCCGGTAAATATAAAAATAGAATTGTCTACATTATTTTTGCTCTCTTCCAGTGTTGTTGTACAACAAACAACCACTTACAAATTAGTTTTTTTCCGTAATACTAGTGTTATAAGTCCAAATATATAAACAATAAATTTTCCACACAAATATTTAGATTTTTGGTACAATATAAAGGTAAGGTAGACCATACAGCTGACTACATTTTTTTTCTAATTGTATCTGACTTCTGTCAATTTTGTGGATGTATTTATTTTTGAAAAATAAAAACAAAATATTTTCAAATTCAATGATTGGAAAAAACCTACACTGCGTCGGTACATGAAATATAATATAATAAATAAATATTATATAATTAATATCCAAATAACAAATAGCCAAAATTTAAATTTTGACACTCGCTCCTTTATTCCAGGCATGAACGAACGGCTGTTCTCTTGAGAGAAAATTGTGTTTCTAGAAACCTTTCGACATTTTTGATCTTTTAGAGCCCTATAGATTGTTAGTTTTGCTTTGATTTTTGCCTTTATCACAGTTTACCACATTGTTACCTTGTTCCTATTGGCCACGGTGCGTCGGTACATGAAATATAATGTAATATAATAAAAAAAATTAAATAAATAATTAATAAACATGGGAAAATCTCACAAATCAGAGAAAAAGTCTAAGAAAAAACACAAGGACCGCAAAGAAAAGAAGAAATCGCATAAACATAAGAAGAAACATTCAAAGACGAAGGAAGATAAAATCGCAAAGGATCGCTCGCCAAAGCTTGATGTTGAGGATGATGACTTTTCCATTCCTCTCGACTTAATGAACAGCAAATCTCATGCACCTGAGACTCCGGATGAATATCAAAAGCGGCAAAGCAGAATAAGACGGGAGGTGGATCCTAGTACCGGTAGGGTACGCTTAATTAAGGGCGATGGCGAAGTACTCGAAGAAATTGTGAGCAAAGAAAGGCACAAGGCCATCAATAGGGAAGCAACACAAGGCGACGGAGCCTTCTTTCAAGAAAATACCCTGGGGAAATTGAAATAAAAACACTTGATTTTTACTCTATCTAGTAAACGATTTTCTTTGATAATAGTAATAATAATAATAGTATATAATTTTAAAATACTAATTATGTATGTACATAGCAGTAGAGGAATGATCTTATTTTATTTAAAATATAATATGCTAATGATAACGCAACAGAAAAACATTACTTTTTCATATATATTTATATTATAATGCTGGTCATCTGCCAAGTTTAACTATAGAAAAATAAGATTAAATATATATTTTGTTGAATACGAGCATATAAACAAAAGAGGTTTGACTTAGAAAGATTAGGGTGTCAATTAGAACATTTGATAGAAAAATGTTGTCGCTCCATCCTGCCAAGTTGGATCTTCGCTAACTTTAGCACGACACATGGGACACGTCTGCTCACGTTTAAACCAGGTATTAACACAATCATCACAGAAAATATGACTACACTCCAATACAACGGGCGTTGTATAGGCATCATGACAAATGGGACAAACAGTACCAGCAGCATCCAGTTCATCTTTGGTCGGCTTGCGATCGTAATCCTGGATTAAAAGTTTGAAAATTAAAGAAAGAAAACAAACACAAAAATCTCAAGTTGTTTTACCATATTGCGTATGAAATTAACTATCGCCTTTTTCAACGATTTCCAACGTTCAACAAATTCAAATCCTTTTGCACCCAAATAGAATGAGGAAAGTAGTATACCGGATATCTGTAAAAGGTTATGGATTCTTTTTTGTAAAACACTGTAACAAAATTGTTTGAAAACTCCAAATACTTACAATTTCCAAACCTGTATATGATTCGAATAAATACGTTATCCATTGTCTTATTGGAACCAATGCTCTGTAGTATTGCGATATATATTCTATTGAAGCATATAAGCGGGCCTAAAAATATAAATTTGTTTAAAAGAAATTTGAATATAAAGTGTGGGCGAAATTTTAATGCGCTTTACGGAACCCAGTCTGATGAAAGTCTGTAAAGCGATTAGGATCTCCTCCTCATTGTGTGGCAATAAATGGGTCTTTGGTCAGTCAAATATCAAAAACTAGTTGTTAAGTGTTTTTTTGTGCAGATTATATGTAAAGATGGACATAGCTTGAGGTGTGAATATATTTTGATTGATGATCAACAATGAACATCAAATACTCACCCTCGATTTATGACGTATTACACGTGTAGGCAACATTGTGACAAATATTTTCACCAATTGTGTCAATAATTTCAACACCAAATCATTCACAGCGATGTAGTATAGCAAGACACCCAACGAAACGGATTTTCCCAGAGAGATTGTATCATTCCCCATGGGATTCGATGTCGGATCTAGGGACACATTCACACTTTCATGTTTTCCTGGTGCAAGTGTTACATCAATAACACCACTATTATCCGCTTTAGCATGGCTTGCATCCGAACTGAAAGACAAATCCAAGGTAAGCTTTTCTCCCGGCGGATTGATCAGCAGGCCAAATGGATCCGGTGTCGAGGGGGCCAAGAGAAAACGGTATGTTACAACACACACCACTAGAATTGTATCGCGTGTGAGAACAGCGTACGATTTCTGATTGACTTTTGCAACTTGCTCTTTCAAGGATTTGTTAACCTGAAACATGACCGCTTGCAAGACCACCAAATCGATAATACCCAACAAATGATCATGTACAAATTTGATCAATAATATGCAAATGAAAGGCAAATAGCGGACGAAATGAGAAACAATTTTAACAATCATTTCGCCCATGGCATTTGTATCGGGATCATCCATATCAATTGTGGGCGCATTGCTGCCGGCTAACGAGGCTTGCCTCTGAGGCAAGCGGCCATTGTTTCCTGAGCCACCGGCATCAGTGGCAGGCACATTACTTTGGCGACGACTACCAGCCGTTTCCAGGGGATCTCCTGTGACCGGCGTCGGTGTACTACTGGTCGGGGATGTAGTGCTATCAGCGGCACTTCTATCCTCCAAACGTGAACTTTGTCTGGACAGCCTTAAGCCTGAGGTACTATTAGTTTGAGTTTCCACTCCGCCAGCGCTGCCACCACCACCACCACCGCTGCCCAAATCTACTTGACTATTTCGTTGATGCTGATGATTGTGTGGAACATCATGATCTAGGGAATTTGAATTTAGCAAAAAATGAAAATGTTCTTCAGGTGTGGGGTTATCGTTTGTAGGCAAAGTATTATAGCGGAAATTACCCGAAGTTGAAGGCGTAAATAAGGTGCGCAGTACATCTGTGCGCTGTGTGACCGGAGAGGCCAGTACATCGTATAAATTTTCACGCCAAGATCGTGGCGCTTGTGATTCATTTACAGCCATGGGCAGGCGCGGATCTCTTCCCATTGCCGTGGAGGATGAGGAGGAATGTTGGCGATGAAATTGATGTCTTGCATCGCGTAGCATAGTGAATAAGTTACGCAAGCGTTGCCTTTCATCAATGTGGGTATTATCCATGCCACCAGTTCCGCCAGCTACCGGAGAACTGCTACTATTATTCAAATCCATATTAATACGAGTTGCAGGATTACTTTCTCTTCGTATCGGCAAGTGCAATCTCTGTTGTTGACTCGTACTTGGGCCCATGTCATTTTCGATGTTAATCGTCGTATCATCCGTTCCAAGTGCATTCGAACGATCTATCAGCATTGCCATTTCATCATCCGTCCTTGCAGAACTGTAAACATTGCTACTGCGAATAGTGTTGTTGGTGTTGTTATTAGTCATGATGCATTGATTGGATCGTTGTTGTCACCTTTGTAACCGTCGGTCGTTTGTCTGTTATCGTGCCGTTCTGCAGCCAAAATTTGTTCGTCACTATATTTCATGTAATTTTACTTTTTTTTTGTTTTTTCTTCAATTTTTACTGTAATTTTTCTAGCTATACTCTATATCAATGCCATTTTAGAAGATTGACTTCGACCACTTTCTTTTCTATTCTTTCTTCTTTATTCTACTTGACCGATTGACATATTCACTGAAAGGAACTGTGGGATTTAGTGTCAATTTGTTCGTCCTATTCGTTTATAGCAGCTGTTTGAAGGGATATGAACGTCGACTTTTGACTAAATGTTTGATTGTTCAACTCCGAAGAAGCCATGAAAAAACTGAGAAGGTGAATTCATTTCCAATAAGGATTTACAGCTCTGCATTTTCTGTTAATAACTTTGTCAAAACCAATTGTTCCATTTTTAAATGTCTACTTGAAACTGTAAAGGTTGGAATACATAAAACGCTTTTTCGACTGGTCTAAATGTGGAAATACATAAAACGCTTTTTTGACTGGCTTAAATCATCAACTGCCTTCTTCGGAAAAGAACAAACTAGTGTAGGGCCAAAATCGAACTAAGTCAAAATTCCTTTGTTTTTTACAAAGAAGCCAGCCGATAACTTAAGCCATTCAAGAAAGAGTTTTATGTATTCTCACCTTACGTCATTGGCTGGTCTCTTCGTAAAAGAATAAAGGAATTTTAGATTTACTTAGTTCAATTTCCACACATCATACATACTAATTTAGCCTAAATAAAAATAAAAAAACGTAGGGTGCATATCTAGCTTATGTAAAGGAAAGTTAAAATATGGGGGTGAAACTTTGAGAAGGAGTTTATGACTTGTTAATTAATTTTACGTCTCTAATGGTTCTTATCTGTTTTTTAAGTCAAGCCAGTGTATTTTTAATTAAAAAATAATAATAAAAAATAGTTATTCCAAATAAGCTTTCCCAGCTCTGCAGTTGTTAAATTTAACTGAATAGAAAACAGTTTTCCATCTCTGTTTTTTTATATACAATGGATTTACATATAGTAAAATTAAGAAGGTGAAGTATTTTTTGTAATTTACCTTGTCATATATCAGTGTATGAAAACAGGTTTCCATCCCCGATTTGAGGGGCAATTGTGATAGTTGAGTCACCAAGATATTTTGCCAAATCTCAATTTACCTTGTCAAAATTAACTTCCATGAAAACAGGTTCCCATCCGTGGCAAAACAAAAGAGGTATTCTCATTTGCTAAATCGAATATAACAACACCTTTACAACGAAATCGACATTGTCATTTTTAAAATAAAAATAATTTTTATATCTAAAATATTCACGTATGTCGAGTGGCAAATTTTACTCAAATAATAAATAATCTCTTGTTTTCAGGGTTCTTTAGCAGACTAAAAACTGTTTTTCTTCCATATTTATAGAAGACGAATTTTATTTATCTTTTCTTGGGCATAAACAAATAAAAATTTATATTTTTAATAAAAGTTGATTAATTTTAATTAAATTTACTTAGTGCTGTGTAGTTTTCGAATGCCTTTTTATCCTAAGTCGTGCCTTAAGGATCTAACCCCCAGAAGAACCAGTTGAAAACTGTTGGCAGAATCTTACAGAATCTTCTGCATCAAAACAGAAACTCACGCTGACTGTTAATGTCAGATCGACTGAAAATTTGGGATGATAATCTTCTAACAAAACTGTAGCAAAATAAGGCGCGAAATTGTCGATCTTTAAATTTATCCTAGCTGCAGCAAAATAATACATTGAAGCAAAATTTAACCTTCCCAAAATAAGTACTGTATTATTTATGAGGCTAATATGTTAATTTCCTGCTTTAGATTATACTGTTCCAGGATAGAGGATACAACAGTCTTGAAAATAGCAAAATATTTCGTCGAAAAGAAATGTACATTTCTTGCCAATTGTACGTCCATATCTAAGGAAGAACTGCAAAATACAAATTTGACAATAATGGGACGACAAATAAAAAAGGCGTGTCATTTTTGATCTTTAAACTTATACTAGCTGCAGAAAAATGATAGATTGAAGAAAAATCTAGTCTTCCCATTAAAAGTCTTATATTGCTTATGGGGCTATTATGTTAATTTTCTGGTTTAGATTATATTCTTCCTTGATAAAGGATAAAGGAAACAAATGTAAATTTCTTGCCATTTGTAAGGGAAGAACTGCAAAATACCAATTTGACAATGATTGGACGTCAAATGAAAATAAGGCGTGTCATTTTTTGATCTTTAAATTTATACTAGCTGCAGAAAAATGATAGATTGAAGAAAATTCAATCTTCCCATTAAAAGTTTTATATTGTTTATAGGGCTAATATATCAATTTTCTGGTTTAGATTGTACTCTTCCTTGGTGGAGGAAATAAAACTTGTTAAAATTTGCAAAATATTTGATCGGAAACAAATGTAAATTTTTTCCATATCTAAGGAAGAACTGCAAAATACAAATTTGACAATGATTGGACGTCAAATGAAAATAAGGAGCGTTATTTTTGATCTTTAAACTTATACTAGCTGCAGAAAAATGATAGATTGAAGAAAACCCAATCTACCCATTTAAAGTCTTATATTTTTTATGGGGCTAACATGTTAATTTTCTGGTTTAGATTATGATGATGATGGAGGATATAAATGTCGTTAAAATTTGCAAAATATTTGTTTTTTTATGAATAATTTTTTTTATAATTTTTTTGCCAGTTGTACGTTCATATCTAAGGAAGAACATCAAAATCTAAATTTGACAATGATGGGACGTCAAATAAAACTAATTGTAAATGTATGATTACATTTGTAATCATACCTTTGTGTATATATAGTCAATTTATGATCATATATTTTGTCAATGGTATTATTTTTGAAAATTAAAAAAATGGCTGCACTATGTTACCATCTTAATTCTAACATGGGAAAAACATTTCACAGCTTTGAATAGTCCCTAAAACCCTAATAATGTTTTTCTTTGAGCTTAGCAACAAAATTTTCAACATATCAAACCTATTTACCTAGGCATTTATATTCAGACATGATTCAGACACTTCACTATCTTGATAAGTTTTATTAATAGACAAAACAAACAAAAACTCAAGACAATCAAGGTTAATAAATTTTGACAATAAATACCTACTAGCAGACATACGATGTACATACATAAATACGTACATGTGTATATTATTTTGCAAAATATTGCAATATTTGAGATAATGTAGGCTTTAATTTAACACAAGCTTGGTTTAATGCCTTTATGGGAATATCACCTTGAACGTGAACTACCTAAAGAAAGAGAGCTCTGGTGTGAACAACAAATAATGGATGAGCAACAAATTAATTGATGACAAGTGTTGAGCAATAAATTTTTTTAAGTCCTTTAAGGTACCAACCCGTCTCATTTGTGTACGCCATTGTCAGTCCTTATCACGTTGCCATGATAACGCATTACTCACACACACGCATACAAGTCTACTACATAAATTTTACACGTGCATTTTTATTTGAAAATGAAAACAAAACTATAGATCAACCACAATAAGGTCCTGAAATGTAAACACATATATGCGTATGTGTGTGTGTAACATAGAACTGGTGTCCACCTTAAACAAAAAAACACCCTCTTCTTTGTTGTGGCTAACACGGACTTAAAGTTGAGCCAATTCACTCAGTTGTAACCAAGTTGTCCTGGCGTTTGCATAGAAGTGTAAACATTTCTTTTTTAATTAAAAAAATATGTTTAATCAAGTTAAGAGAAAGTTTAAATAAAATACAGAGAAAAAACAAAGGAGTATTTTTTAAAATGAACAGATTTATTTGGTGCGTAAATAAAATAGATAATATTAACTTAAAACTAACTTAACAATAGTGTAACTTAATCAAAAAAAAATAATCGTTTAATCACTTAATCATCACCTACATACATTACATACACCCACCCACCCACACACACACAAATGTATGTATATTGTTATTGCGGCGCGGAGGACGAGGGCTGTTTGTTTGCTTACAAGTAGTTTTCTGTAATGTCACAACGACCGACCATATTGGCAACAACAAAATGCAAAAACAATCAAAACAAATATCAGTCTGTATAATTCTCTCTCACTGTGCGTGTCATTCTCGCGTATTATCTTTGTAGTTGGTGTCTCTCTCTCGCCCACTCCATTGATCTTTGTCTCCCACTTAAATTGGATTTTCCTTTTGAAGCACTCTTTTCAAATTACTGTTATTTCTCATCACTCATGATGATGGTCGGGGATGGAAAGTTTTAAAGTCTGAGAATTATGGATGCTTATTATTTAACTTTAACAAGTCTGGTGCAAAAAAGAATTACCATCCAAATCAAACCCCAGACCACTCGTTGGCTCGTGCCAAGGCCCTTTCACGAGAAAATATTGAGAAATATCTTTTTATTTACTAAAAATGGTAATTGCTTACACTGACCAGAGATGGAAAGTTTGTATTTCTAAAGGATATTATTAGCACTTCCAAATGTCTGAAACATTCCGATCTACTGCGAATATGCCCGAAATTCACCCTGCAGTTATCTAATATTATAAAATTAAACCAGCATTTTTGGCCTTTTTAGAGGCGATTAGGTCAAAAAATAGGGTCTGTTCCAGGACATCAAGATTGTAAAACTTTTTGCTACGATAACCGATTTTTCCTTTATGATTTTAAAAAATATCTAAAATTAGTAGATTCTTGCAGGTTCTGGAATAGAGCAATAGTGAGAAAGAAGAAACTCGCCAGGGAAAGTAATGCTATGTTGCAAAGATCTTGTAAAGTGTGCAATTTTGGTGTCGGTATGTTCGTCGTTTAAATAATCGACATGGCAAAGTTAAAAACATGGAAAAATTAAGGAAGTAAAGTCATTTCAAATAAGGCTTGTCAAATTTCACTGAATAAAAAACATACATTAGAATAATTTTGAAAAAAAAAAAAAAATGTAAACATATGATTACATGTCTTTACCTTCGTAATTCTACCATGGTCAAAACATAGTGACATAGAATAAAGGGATGCCACAGGCGCACTCAAGTACTGCCGTCGTTTACCGAGATGCCAAGCTGCTTATGTATCCACACCTTAATGGTGGGAATATATAAAGCGCTTAAATGGCTGGCTTCTTTGGAAATGAACAAAGGAGCCTATGGTCAAAATCGAACTAAGTCAAACTAAAACTCCTTTGTTCCTCTACGAAGAAGCCAGTCGATGACTTAAGCCAGCCAAACAAGAGCTTTATGTATTTCTAAGAAACTCGCTAGGGAAGTAAGCGCAATTTTGGTGTCAGAATGTAGGTAATTCAAATTATTGACAAGGAAAATGAAACAATAATTAAAAAAATAATCTGTTGGTTTCCAGAGACGGAAAATTCAATTAAATAAATTAAATGGAAATTGTAAATAATAAGTGTGTGTCTGGGTTCCTTGCAATTTTTAACAATTATTGAAAATTGTTACTGGAAGTTATCTGTTAATCGAAAATATCTGCAGAGACATTTTGAAAGTTGGCGAACAAAAATCTCTTGCAATTACTTGCAACCATGACAGAAGATGAACTGTCAAACAAATTTTGAAATCGAAAACTTTGAATAAAAAATTATTCAAATTGGTAAAAGTGGTTGAAAAATGCATACCATAACAACCTTCGATCAATGTCGTATTAGTAAACTTATAAAAATCTATTTATTTTTGAAAAACATTTTTTCTTAAAGTTTGACATATCAATGTTCCCAAGCGTTGGTGCATCTACCTGTATTCTTCTGCAATGCTTGCAACTCTTCTTCTTTTCTTTCTGGCATAATTTATATTTGTGCAACTAATTTTAAAACATCTCAATTTTTAAAACACATTTTTCATCAAATATATGACATTTATCACATGACACATTGGTTATAGAAAACACGTGTTTATGTATACACGTTGTTTATTTGTAATAAACGCTCTTGGCATATTGTAAATCCAATAAATTTAAACGTCAAAGAATCCACTAGATTTGACATGTGACGTATATGCAATAAAATTGACAATTAAAATACGCTGGACTTATTACATGTAAACATGCTTACAGGCTATAATTTCATAAACCACATCATTTCGATTGTCAAAATAAATTGATAATTTCAATTGTCAAAATAAATTGATATTTTCAATTGATTGACATTTGAATTTCAACGATTTTGTTTGTGAAACTCCAGACGTTTACACTAGATCCATTTACCGTTATAATTTATTTACCTATTTGACATATGTTTTCATATGCTTTATGTCAAATTAATTGTGATCTATATTGGACTAAGTACCAATCTATAAAAATATTTAATAAATATATAGAAAGAAAAAACTACATCCATGGTAGAATTAAGAAGGTAAAGTCATGCAATCATATGTTTATAATTTTTCTCATTGTCAAACTTTACATTTATAAATCCATTGTATACACAGAAATCAGACATGAGAACCTGTTGTTTATTCAATCAATTTTGACAAGGTACGTTATAGAAAATGCAGGGATGGAAAGTCTTATCTGAACTGATTTTACTTCCTTAATTTTACCACGGCTACATCTTGTGGCCGTGTGAATTCTTGAGACATGCTAAGCCACTTTGAGCTTCCCTTCCCGCTTTTTTTGTCTCAGAGCGTTTTTGACAAGTCATAACATAAATATGTATAATCTTCGTCTGAACATGACATAACTCAAAAAAATATTTCTTTTCATTAACCAATTTGGTAGTGGAAAAACACGGAGAGGGAGACACCACAACCAAACCCTATTTACACTACCTACTTTGAGCGAGTAAACAAGCATCATCATGATCATAATCTTACGTTACATTATTTCCAAAAAAAGACCATTTGGTTCTTCTTCTTCTAATTAAAAAAACCACAACGCTTGTCCTCAATGTAACGACGTTGAGAGATGGCCAGGTGTTACAACTTTGGGTGTTGTCTTACGACGTCTCTGGAGAAAGCTCTTAACCGATTCCAATGGCAATTGAAAATGATAATAGGCACAATAGGGCAAGGGATCCCAGTAGGCAAACAGTGCTTCACGTTTGTCCAACGCCACCGATTCCGAAGACCATTGGGCGCCGAAATATGCCAGCGAGGAAGCGGAAGCTGTCGTACTTTCATCTTCTTCCGGTGCTGTGCTGAAATTTAATGGTCTCATATGGACACATTTCATGGTGCGACACAAGATTTGGGCATGTGATCGATTGTGGCATATGTACGGCAGCGAGACACCCAAACGTATGCCCAGGGGTAAAAATTGCCCGGTAGATTGGCATTTGATGAGGCGCAAACTGATGTGACAGTTGATGGGTCGTTGAAAACGAACTTTGCCAAAGAATGTCTTCAGCCACGAATCTATGAGTTCGGCATCTGTGGCAGTGGCTGGTATTAGATTTTTGGTATCACTGTCCACGCGACAGCTAACATTGGCCGCCACTTGGCTGGATTTAATGGTGGTGCAGGTGACAAAATGTTCACCGGGTACATCGCGCACAACCAACCATTTTTGGCGTTCATTGATTTCATGGGTAAAACGCAGATCACGCCACTGGCGAGGCAGCATATACTTGAATCTCTCCAAAACACCTTGCATGCCCACAGCCAACAGGATATGGCGAAATTGACTGATGAAACCCTCCTCGTATAGCTCCCAAAGTTCATGGGCCGCCGATAGGGCAACATAGGGTGGCACAGCTATATTTTGTGAGGCACATCTCTGATAGAACTGCAAACAATCGTCCAGTATGAGGGTTTCCTGTACCCCGGTCATAAATGTGGCACAGCCCAATAACTCCAAATGGGGCTTGGCCACTGAATCATAATATGCCGGACTTGTGGCACACACGGGTATATAAACTGAAGGCTTTTCTTTGCGTACAATGTGACACAAGGCCGTAATGTAGCTGTCGACATTTTGTGGCGTGGGCTTGGGTACGGTGTAAAATTTATCAACGGCTGCCGAAAAGCGGGCCAAACCAAAGTGTCCTTCAAATTCAAAGACCACAACTCTGGCGCCCGATGAAGAATATAAATTTCTGGCCAAATGCAGAGTTTGTATGGTACTGCCACAGCTAATGAGTACGGTACGTTTGGGTACTCCCGTGCCCTGTTGCATGCCGCCCGTTCCTTGGGCTGCATTGCCTCCGTTATCCAGATTCCAAACCCATTTGAAAAATTCCACTGGTATTCTTATGATTTTCCAAAATACCCATAACAAGGCGGATAGCCAAAAACTGGGAGCAGCTATGGACAAGGGGATGTAGAGTAGATAACGTAACAATATAAGGACTATATTCACAAGAAGATTTGGCCAGAACCATAAGAATTTTTGGAAACGTCCCATCAAGGTTTGTGGACTGGTGGCGGCATGTTGTGCCTGGTTTTGTTGTTGCTCTTGTTGCTTGGGTAAAAGTTTTTGGTTGATGCCGGTATTCGAGCGACTTAAAAGTGTAGGCGACTGTATGGCCACACTGTCCTCGTCATCGTTGGATTCCTCTTGACTCGGATCTTCGGGTATTAAATCCAATGAATTAATGCGTCGGAATTTTGATCGCGCATAACGTAGTTGTCGGGCATAGTCCTGTTTCGATTGAAAGTCTTGGGTCATGTTTAAGCGCTTCCGATTTTTTTTGTTTAAATTCTGTTAATATTTTAAATTGTTATTGTTTTTCTATGGACCTTATTTTTCAATATTCGTTTCTCGTAGTAAAATTTAATTCGCAATAGTTCTGTTTTCGATTCTTTGTAAAAAAAACGTTGGTTTCAATTAATCTCGATTTACACCAAGTCCGTATTATCACTCGCGCTCGTTCGTTTCGTCAGATCTTTAGTACGGTTCGCGTTCGATTGATCTCCGTTGCTGCAAAGTGAAAAATATTATCATCGTTCGGTGCGCTCAGTCCTCAAATCATCAGAAGTAAACGTGCAATATTGACTTTACTCGCTATCTGTGCACGTCTTCTTTCTGGTTGTCAATCCAGATCGGGATGAGTCTTCGTTTTCGATTTCATTTCAAATTTATTATCGTTTTTGGTGTTGCTGTTGTTGTTGGTGGTGGTGGTGGTGTTATTAATGCTTCTATTATTTGCTCTTTAAATGTGTTGCATTTAAAAATCGTGTCCATACTCTGGTCGTATTGCAATTTGATGGACCGTAATCCGGGTACAGTAGTTGAAATGAAATCGTAGAAGGACTATTTTAACAAGTTTTTTGCATTGACAGCTAAATTACGCGTTTTACACATCCCGTGTAAACCCAGCTTTAAGATGAGAATACATAAAACGCTTTTTTGACAGGCTTAGGTCATCAATTGTCTTCATCGTAGAGAAACAAAGTTTTAGGTTGACTTAGTTCGATTTTGGTCCTACGTTTTACACATGCCGTGTAATCCAAGCTTTAAGATTAGAATACAAAAAACGCTTTTTTGAATGGCTTAAGTCATCAGTTGGCTTTGTCGTAGAGGAAAAAAGGAGTTTTAGGTAGACTTAGTTCGATTTTGGCCCTACGCTCTTTTGTTCTTTTCCAAAGCCGTTGACTTAACCCAGACAAAGAAGCGTTTTATGTATTCTAACCTTTATTCTAAATAAATTCTTGACCGCTATATGGTGAGATAAAAAAACTGCAACAAAGTCAAAATCTATAATTTTTAAATTTTATTGAATGAAAGCAAAAAATGTCGAAAATAGCATCAAATTTTATAATAAGTTTAGATTTTTTCGAATTGGTCAACTTTGGCACGAATTATGGTCTTCAAACGGCCAATGAAACCGTCACACGCTGACCGAATGTTGCTCTGCGGCAAAGCGCTTTCTTGAGGTGATCGACACTTTGGTATTTTATAGTGCCAACCTTTCTTTCCAAAATATTCCACACACAATAGTCCAACGGATTGATATCCGGAGCTTTAGGTGGCCATTGTGCGCTGGAAATGAAGGGAGGAACCTCATTTTGTAACCATTCTTGTGTGGCGTGTGTTGAGTGCGAGTCCTGTTGGAATGTCCAAGGTCTGCGGCCAAAATGTTTGCGTGCCCAAGGCTTTAATACACCCTCCAGAATATTTTCGGGATAATATTCGGCATTTATTCTGATGCCACGGTCGATTAATACGAGCGGAGAGCGACCATCGGTTGTTATGCCGGCCCACACCCTCACCATGGCCGGCACTTAAGTTCTGGTGGCCAACCGAAGATGCACATTTTCAGCTGACCTCTTTGGCAAGTAAACAAGATCATTTTGTTTGTTTACAAACTGCTGAACAAAGAATGTTTTCTCATCGGAGAAAACCAAATTCGGCAGTTTACCACTTTCGGTCAAGCGAAACAACTCTTTAACTCTTTTGAGTCTATTTTCTTTCTGTTGCGGTGTAAGTTCTTGCACTTTTTGGAATTTCAATGGCTTCACTCCGAACTCATTTTTCAATATTTGCCGAATGGAATATTGCGATATGTTCAGCTCACGAGCAATTTTTCCACCGGGGTTTCGCGGATTTCGATCAAGTCGCTTCTTTATTTTTCGAACCATTTCTGCTGATGTTGCTGTTTTCTTATGTCCACTTCCTTGACGTCGGGCTACGCTACCAGTATCACGGTAACGAGCGATGGTACGTGACACTAAAGACACATTTAAATGCTGGATTGCTCTAACGATAGCCACTTGAGGTTTTCTAGCCAAATATAAAGAAATTACACTATCACGCTTGAATTCCATCACGAATTAATAACTTTTTTCTGGAAAATTCTCACCACAATGCTTTTGTACGCTTGTAAGCAATAGAATGAGGTGTCACAGGAATAATCTTAACCGCTGTCGGACCAGTCGCCTAGAAATGACAGCAGTCTGAAGTTGGTTGCAGTTTTTTCATCTCACCCTGTGTATAAATATATTAATCGTCACTACTAGTTCAATATTCGAATTCTATCATGTCTCCACGATACAATTAAAAGGGTAATCACATGCAATCACGGATTATTTTTTTTTTTTTATTGGTATCACTTCAATGTAGTTATTCCTTAAATGCGGACGTAGAAATTGACATTTATATCCGATACAAATATTTTGTTATTTTCACTCCTGTAAAACAGAAAACTAAAATATTAGTCCCACAAGTGGGACTTGATTATGAAGGGGTTCAATTTTGATTAATTGTATTAATTTGCTGCTGTATGATAGTACAGTTGAAAATATCGTGCCAATGGTGCAATTGCAAAGGTAATTTCATGCAATCATACGATTACAATTTCATTATTTGATGTCCCTTCATTGTCAAATTTTTATTTTGTAGTTCTTCCTTAAATATGTGCGTACAGCTGGCAAGAAATTAAAACTAATTTTCATAGGTTAATTTTTTATTTCATGCCCCTTCACTGTAGTTGTTCCTTAAATATGGACGTAGAAACATTGACATTTATATACGACCAAATATTTTATCATTTTTGAGGCTTTAAAACATAAAACTAACATATTAGTCCCACAAGTGAGACTTGATTATGTAATGGTAGAATTTTGAATACAATTATTATATTCTTCATGCTAAGACAAGTACGGAGATCACAACATGGTACAATTACAATGGTAATAAATGTCATGCCATCACACGATTACAATTTCATTTTATTGATGTTCCTTCATTTATTTTGTAGTTTTTCCTTAAATATGGACGTACAGCTGGCAAGATATTTACACTAATTTATTATTATAAATGAGGTTACCTTGTTTTATTGTACAATGAATATAACCTATATAATCTAAAAATATAAGCCTAAAGCTGCTATCAGATGATAAGGGTTTTACATTACTTTTATTATACATGTGTACTTCCGTGTGTGTGTGGCAAAATTTTCATTTTACATATGACTCATAATTCTTGCTATCACACACTTGCATATGTTTTTTTATTTCCGTTGGTTTTAATTTAATTAATTATTACTTTAATACTTTAAGTTTTAATACTTTATGGATGACTTCGTAAAATTACATGATGACATAGTAAAATTAAGAAGGTCAAGTCATTTCAAATAAGTATTCCCATTTCTGAATTTTTTTGTAATTTATCTTGTCAAATTTCACTGCATAAAAACTAGGTTTTTCATCTCTGATTTGTGTACTTACAATGGATTTATAAACATATATGAGATGTTGAAAAAAATGTAAACATATGTTTGCATGACTTTACCTTCTTTATTCTACCATACACACAACAAACAAACAACACTTTTTATTAAAGTAAATTGAAAATAGGGCTCGCTGTGATCGAAAAAGTACATAAATGCCATGGTAGAAGAATGCAGGTTGATGCAACAAAGCTTGGGAATATTGATATGTCAACAAATGTTAAATGTCTTTTCAAATTTAAGTAGATTCTTATATGTTTTCTTATACGATGTCATTCGGAGGTTATTATAATGATCGTTTTTCAAAAATTTGGCTTGACAGTTCATTGCCCCATCACCTGTGCGATGCGTCTACCTGTATTTATCTACCATGGATAGTGTCTTTAATCAATAAATCTTGATGATGTGAGTTAAACGGAATAAAATGTTGTATCTAAACACATTATAATGATCACCTGTGATAATTGGAACGTTTTTAGTTTTAGCAGCAGAACTTTATAAACGGCGTAAAAATACCAAAACCATAAAAAGAATAAATCCTTAATTAATTGTGTCACCAAGCATTCTGACATTTCATTGTCTCGTATTTTTTTCTCTGTGATCTTGTTTAGTTTCAATTTGCGTAGACATTCCAATCAAGGATGGATCTTGGCCTACAATACACCACAAACCGCATTTCCTTGCGCCCACTGTGCAAATACAAAAAAGCCTACAGTACAAAATAATACGGTATGGCATTTTTGATAATCTCTGTTTCGGCTGGCCCATTGCTCCTCAGTTCGATTCGATCGATCAGTATTATCACGTACTTTGATCCTCTTTTTTGTTGTTGTTTCTTTGCTTGTGCACGGCAAGCTGTACCTATGGATGCAGTGCAGCGTATGTTTGTTTGTGTTTTTGTTACACACTATATAATATAATAATTCCATAATTCCATAATATAAATAATATTCTGCAATAACAACAGCAACAAAAACAACAACAATAAGAAGATGCATGCATTTTTTTGCTTTTCAAACTGATAAGTGAAAATCAACCGGCGTCTTATATTTCATTTTTACTTATTGTTGTTGCTTTTGTAATATACTTTACATGTTTAACGATAATGTGCCCAGACATAGGTATAATAATTAATAATGGCAAAAGAGTTCTGACCGAATAATACCATTAAAGGTGTTTAATCTTTTCCCAAGAATCGTTTTTATGAAAATTCCACTCGACTTGGTGGTGATTGGTGTTGAAGGAAATATTTTCCAATTTCTTGAAAGAGTTTAACAAACTTTTTTCTTTGTGTTTTTTATGTTTGATTACCGTGTGAATCACCTTAATGTTTAAGACAAGACGTTATTGGAATTCTGTGGGGACATTGCATCAGTTTTAAGAGTGTGTCTGTATGTATGCACACAAACATATATTTACTGTGGACAATAGTTCATTAATTCATGTGAGGAACAAAACACAATCATAAAATCGTAAAAGGAATAAACTTTCTCAATTATTTAAATTTTGAACCGTTAAGGGGAAGGCCAATGTGGATAATATATCGTTGAAGTGATGTAATATTTTGTA